CTGAGTTCTTCATTATATAATACACATTGCTTTCTCTCATTTAAATAAAATGCTAGAGGATTGTGTGCTATGCCTACATAGCCATAGTATCTTAGTTTTTCTAATAAAATGTCAGTAGAGACGCAGTCGAACGACTTGCTCAGATCGAGGAATATGCCAAGTGTTGATTTTTCGTTTTTGAAACCTTCAGTTATGAAGTCGAATAATTCGAGCACTACTGCACCGAATAGAATGAGTAAAAGCTCAGCTGTATTTAGCCGAGTATTCAAAAGTCGAACCGAGCTTTGTGCCCAGCCAAGGCTTTCTGAAAATGAGCAGAGCCGAGTTCTAGTGAAAGCTCCAACTTCCAACTACCTCGCAATTTGCAAAAAGTATATTTCAACAACTCTGTGCAGAAATTGATCGGTTGATTGAATTAGATAATACCAAATTTCCAATTAATTTTATAATAAACACCTCATCAATTTTCAAAAATTATACCCGATTTGAAAAAAATTAGCAACAAAGACCTGGACAACCATAGGTATCATAATATATACACAAATTATAAGATCTCTACACTACATAAACAAAGAAACCACTCGCTCAAGGAATTACAATAGATAACTACTATATCTTTATGTTTCTGAATTTGATATGTACTTTCTAATAATTACATGTCAGTTACTTACAAACCATTGATCATAACGAGAATGTCAGAATTATAATTTCTTGTCCATAGACAGGTTACATTCACAGGTAGAGTCCACTATTTCACAGTTTGTATCAGCTTTTTGAAAAAGTAAACATCTTTTAAACCGAGCGTCTTAACACTTAAAATATCAAGTATAAGGTATCATTGGATTAAGAAAATTGTGTAGATTTCAAAAATGTAATAATATACAGGGTGTTCTATTTGAAAATTAAACGTTGATAAGATTTCCGGAAAAACCGAGAGTTGAAAAAAATCTCAAATTACGTCAAAAAATGCCTCTTTGTAAGCACAATCAATATTAATAGTTCCGTAAAATTAGGTGAAAGAATAAAGAAAAAAAGGGGGGTGTACCATAAGTCTGTGTCACACGGTATATTCAATAGGAAAAATATTTTCAACAAACGTCTTATTGAGAACGTTAAAAAGTTACACTTTAGTAAACAAAAACAAGGCCTCCTGGTCAATCATCAATGAATTTAAAAAATACAAATTCTGCAGGGGAATGAACAAATTACAGACCTTGGTAAAGTTGCAAATATATTCAACAACTTCTTTATATCAGCCCCCCAAAAAATCATTAATGACTTTCCAAAAATTCTGCAGATATAATAATAATAATAATACTTTATTTTCCACGTAGACAATATACATTGTATAGGAATAGTCAATAAAAGAAGTAAAAATAAAGACAGAGTATAAGAAACATACAAGTAGAAAACATCACCTTAAAACTAAAATACCCTATGCCAATCGGGTAGCCCAATAGGACCTTACAATCCATGGTGCTACTGCCATTCACAGAAAATGATATGATCCACATCTTTGCAAAACTCAAAAACAAACATTCCGCGAGACCAGACGAACTTCCTTGCAATGTAATCAAAGATTTCAACTCATTTCTATTATCACCGGTCACCCATATTGTGAACTATTCTTTCGAGACAGATACAGTCCCCACTCAACTCAAAACATCAAAAGTTATTTATACCTGTGCACAAAAAAAAAACTGTAGAAATAAACTGGATAATTATAGGCCAATCTCTTCAACACCATCATTTTCCAAAGTTTTTGAATATTGCATGCTAGAAAGGCTCAATCCTTTCATAGAGAAATTCAATTTAATACCAACCGAACAGCATGGAATCAGAAAAGCACGGTCAACTACTACAGTTATACTGAGTCTATAAACAATATTCTGAAAGAGCTTGAGAAAAAAAATGTCCAATTGGAGTTTCCTGTGCCTTGAGCAAAGCATTTGAATGTGAACCACACAATCGGCTACTAGACAAACTCTGGTCACTCGGCATTAGAAGAAGAGCACATGATTGGTTCAGATCGTTTCTTGCAAATAGAAATCAATATATATCATTATCTCATAACGAGAGAGGTCTTATCACTACTACACACTACTCCAGTACACTACCTGTGAAAGTAGGTGTTCCTCAAGGAAGTGTAGTAGCTCCAATTCTGTTTTCCCTATATCTGGCAGACATTGTGAATTATCTATCAGAATTTAAAGTTATCTTGTATGCAGATGATCTATTAATCTTGGTATCTAAAGAATATTATGATTCAAATGAACAATCTGGTATTGATTTGATGCATAAAATTTCAAAATGGTTTTCAAAAAATAAGCTGTATAGAAACCCAGCGAAAACTGAATTTCTTATCTTCCATATAAGACAAAAACAAATTAAAAATATCAACCTGACCTTAAACAACACTAACGTGAACTGTAATACCTCTGTTAAGTTCTTAGGTCTGAATATAAATGATAAACTAAATTGGGAAACCAATGCATCTACTGTAATAAAAAATAACACCAAAATATTTCAAATACGCTGTATGTATAAGGTCCTGACAACTCCAGTAATGAAAAATATCTATTTTGCAGAAATTCAGTCGAGACTGGCATACAAATGTCTCTTCATTACACAGAAAAACTGCATTCGTGCCATGTTTCGCAAACCTCAAACAGAATTTAGTAGAGCCCTCTTTAGAAAGCTACAAGAATTACCCCTTATTTCTCTTTACATATTGGAAACTGCTTGTTTCATTTACAAACACAGAAATACTTTGCTCTGTCGTAATGACATTCACGGTCGTTCCACCAGGAATCAGCATTTGCTGAATACTCCTCAAAACAGATTGAACCTAGCGCAAAACGGCCCTCTAAGCATCGGAATTCTAATTTTTAATAAAATTTCCCAAAACATCAAAGATGAACCATCAGTGTGAAAGCAGCCACGAGTTCTAGCCATGGATTTGTCGATGCGAAGCGGGAGATCCGATAATCAGCGGCTCCCAAAATACGGAACAAATTAATGGCCAGCCATGAATTTACTGAACAACCTGAAATGTATGCGATTAAAAACAAGTATAACAATAAATCCTCCATATCAAAAATTGTCGAGAATATCAAGTCATTAGAAATTGTTGAAATATATACAAAGAGTTTAAAGAAAATCCATGATTCATCAAATCCATAACTTATTAAAATATTTCGTGGATGGAGATTTTTTTTGAAATGCATTCAATTCAGCATACAGAATAAGACCCTTATGCCAAAATATTTTGTCGGGCAGAAAATCAACCCCCACCCCGAATTAAATA